CTACAGGGACGCTGGGCCCGATTTCCAGCAACAAAAAAAAAAAAAAAGACCCGATTTCCAGCAGGTGTTGCTCCCCACCAATAGATGGAGCCTTCAATACTGGGGCCTGCTTAAGGAGGATTTTCTTATCACATCGTTAAGCAGGTTTCCCGGGGCGTGAATTCAAAAAAAAAAAAAAAAAAAAAAAAAAAAGAAGTTTAAAAAACTGTATTCTTCTCTCAGTCAATCTATCTATATGATTCCGAGAATCCGGAAAAAAAAAAAAAAAAAAAACTGTATTCTTCACTCAGTCTATCTATCTATATTATTCTGCATCTATCTCATCCTCGCTATTCTATGAATAATACAGTACGGGGGAACACCAACAAAACCTGGAACTGGCCAAAGATGGTCGGCAGTAGCTCTTGAATCTTTATGAGAGTTGTGGATATTTTGAGGCACGCAGGCGATGATGTTCCCTTTTGCAGCGAGTTTGTGGCACTCTGACGGATTTTGGAATTAATAACAGTACGCATTTCTATCTCCAAGACAGCAGGAGATCTCCCAGCAGTTATGGAACTTCGCAGTTGGATTTTTAAACATTAGCATCAACGATTGGAAAACGGGAAAGACATCGTGACCACGCAGATCGACAGCACCACTTATATTTGGTGCATCGTTGGGACGCTCGTACAGCTCGCCCCCTCTCTGCCCACCTGATCCCTTTCCTTCCCACTCCCCAATTAGTCATCACCATTTCTCCTAGTTCGGCATCCCCTCCTCTTTTCCTCGATCTTGAGCGTGTGATCCTCTCCTCTCTTACTCTGTCAAACTCCTGCATATCGCCGCTCCCCCCACACTTCCTCTCGGCAGTCATGGTTCCATGACTTCACAGCCCTGTCCTCCAGTATGTTAAGATTTAACTTGATCTTCGCTCCTCAGAACATTGTTAATGTTCCCGAACGCCAAAGGTCGAGCTACAGATCCCCCAGGCTCGGCAGGAGCGTCCTTCGCTTACGGGGGTGTTGATCGGGTGGCACTACAAGGATTTGGAAGCAGGAGAGACTCGGCCTCAGACGGTGGTGTCGGAGCTCATGCAAGTGTTCAACGCGCTGGCCATGGTGATCTCAGTCCGTCTAGGAAACAGGAGTACTCATGTGGCTTGAGAGCACTGACCAGTCGATTGGAAGTGGGCGCCCTCCCTGTGATGGGGAGCATCAACGGAGGGAGTTCAGGAGTCCAAGCGGCCATCTGAGGAATACTCCTGGAAGGCGTTTTCTGCCCCCTCTATTGAGTGCCACAATCAGAGCCAGATCGCGGCGATATGAAAATTGAAGAAGAAGAGGAGGAGGATGAAGAAGGAGACGTGGCCGTCTGAGGGGGCACCGGAAGAAGGTGGCAACGTGGCATGAAGGCGTTTTGTGGCCCCTCTATTGAGTGCCCAGTCAGAGCCAGATTGTGAAGGTATGAAAGCAGAAGAGGAGGAGGAGGATGACGAAGGAGATGATTCCAACGCATCATCACTGCCCGAGGAGCCAGCACCTTCATCCGCAGCAGCAGGGCAATCGTTGACATAGGCTCCATCATCAGGGCAAGCAGGGAGCGAGCACGGTCGATGACACATGCTCAGCGCCAGCAACTGGGATTGCTTCCCGGTGAAGCTCTTCCCTTCCTTCTGAGGTTCCCCGCGCCGCATCTCCCTCACTATCCCCTTCTCCTCTTTTCCCTCTCTCCGTTCCCCTGTTTTTTGGGGCAAAACTACAAGTTTCGTGGAAAAATGACGTGAGAGCACGACGACCGACTGTCAGTGCATTGCTGATGAGAGCTTTGTGATCAATCGGATTGGCAATATGAGAGAGAAAGGTGTCACACTTTGTGTGTGTAAACGTCCAAGTGTTTGAGTCTGAGCTGCTTCGTGTCGTGAGTGCATGTATACAAGTCCTTATAAGCAAGGGGAAATAAAAGTACAAGCGTTCTTATGTGATAGACTCTCTTTGTTGTGAAGTGCATCTGCGTCAGGAAACCGTCAAATGCATGTGTCCATCTTTTTGTGCTGAAGTGTAGCGAAATGATTGATTTTGTGCAGTAGCTTCTCTCGTCCCACACTCTTCATTATTTTGTGTGCAGCAGCTTCTCTCGTCCCGCACTTTTTATCCTTTTAGGATCAGATTGCTACCCATTACCATTGGACCATTGTCCTTCCCACATCGCGAGCAAAAGCCCCGGGTGTGTAAATGGGATGTTTGTGAACCAGCCGCTGCTTCGACCTGTACGCCGATGGTTTTCTCGGGCAACACTTATTGCTCGGGATACGTGGGAACCACTGTGGTCAGAATTTGTGATTGTGGAGACAGTCTTCCCCTTATTCTATCTTTTGCCATGTAACAAGCTCACGATAATCCTCTTACCCGCCGCCATCGCCTCATTCTGGTCGCACATTGGTGTTCCGAGTGCAGACCTACACTCGAGGGACCAGTACCACCGATGAGGCTTTGCTTACATGGCCCACAGCAGCAAGGTTGATCAGGTTTGACTTTCTCAACTGAGGGCGTCCACCTCAGACTCCGAACTTGTGGTTCATGCAAGCACAGTCTGTTAAAACTTTGCAATCCTGTGTACATGCCCACAACGTTCCGCAGCCTGACGCAAAGGCAATGACATGAGTAATGTAGGGGTAATATCAGTGCTCTCCTGGCTAGCCTTTCCCCTTTTTTTTAAGGTTTTTTTTTTGTTTTTTTTGCATTATCAGCCCCACCCCCATTTTTGAAACGGTTTTCACCTTTTGCAGCAACAGATGCAGACCCAGGGTTCGATCCCCAGACCTCACCCTACCCATGTACAGTATCTGTGTAGAGCCCGAGAATCGAACCTGTGACCTGTGTATCCGTAGACAACAGGTAGGGCTGTCATAGGTCCGTAGGTAGCAGGGTTCGATCTGTAGGTCTATAGGGTAGGAGTCTTAGCGAAGTCCAGAAACTAGCTGTAGACCTTCTAGAAGGTCAGCAAGTGGTCAAGTGGCGAGGGAAGTGGCCAAGTGGTGAGGCCAGTGGGGACTAAATCGCAGTGCGATTGCAGTACAACGTCGGTAGGATAGCGGTGAGTCCACAGTCAGTCAGCGGAAGGTCAAGTCAGTCCAAGTCCGGTCCAGCAAGTACCACAGGGGGACTGTGAGCACCAAGGGCCGATGGCAAAGGGCAGACCAACGAGTTTCTGAAGTATAAATCAAGAGGCAGCGCCCAGACATTCATTCATTCCTGCGTGAGCCATGCGGAAGCGCTGCCACAGCGCCTTGTGCAAGGAGGTCTGCAGATGAGCCCGGAGGTCGCA